GGGGGGGGGGGGGTATTCACCTAGAACTTAAAATTGAAACTGTGATAATCTGTAGGATAAATTTTTAAGGTGTTAGTCACATAGAACTAAAACTAGAACAAAATTTTACAGTGTTAGTCAAGTAGAACTCAACAAAACTAGAATTTGGATAATGATACAAAATTATCCCACTTTTTTATTTCTCTATACAAAAACGAGAGTTCTAGTCTCTCAAATTATTCCTAGTTTTAGCTTGGAACTAGGTGGTAAAGAACTAGATCTCATATTATAAGGTGGGATCCCTGAATGTAGTGGCTAGTGAATCACTGATCAAAAAGCGTATTTTGGAGAGATTCTTCATCGATCTAGTGGCCGGTGAATCACTGATCAAAGAGCGAGCAGCCGCCAGGTTTCATGATTTTGTAGGATCCCTAGATGTAGTGTCTAGTGAACCGCTTCTTCTTCCACGAAGGTTCATACAAAAGCGAGCTTGGATGGAACTGAAGAAGATTTTTGTTATTTTTTATTTTATATTTTTTTTCTTTACTTCTTTCTTATTATGGTTATCACCATTATTAGACCATCATTATAATAATAATTATCAATATCGTATAGTCTAACCAAAAGTTATTTAATTAATAGTAAAGAACATTCTTGTAAGCAATTATCAATAAATTAGTAAATTTAAAATACATAAATAGTATTTATATCTTTAAAATGCATAAATATATATTTCATGATTATAAAAATTTATCTCACATTATTTTATCAAAATATCCCGCTTCACAAAATTGTTCCTATTTATCCCACTAGCGAAAAATTATTCTGCTTCAACAATTATCTCATTTTGCATGAAAATGTCCCAATTGACTAACACCTTTAGAGGATTCGTTTGGATACCATAGTGTTTTCCTTATATTTAAAAAAACATGATAGTGTTGTGTTTTCCTTAAAATGTTTTGAAAATACAATGTTCAATATTTTTGGTCAATACTAGTTTGACCCATTACAACATAAGTATTAAACATATTATTAATATATTATATATTAATTATAATAAAATATATTATAAATAAAATTATAATATTTAGTTTACATTATTATAGTATTATGACTATTAAATTATACTATTATTAATATAATATAATATTATACTATTATTCATATAATATAATATTATTAATAATGTTAATATTATGTTATTAATAGTATGTTATTATTATATTACAAATATTTTAATATTATATAATATATTATAGTTTATTAATAGTACTTTAATAATATATTAGTATTTATGATATTAATAAATATTATTATATTATGAATATATTATTTTTACATTAACATTTGTTAGCAATAAATTATTTTATTATTAAAAGTTATTCTACTTTCTAATAAATTATATTATTTATTTCATAATATATTAATATTTTATATATTATATTACATTTACTATACAATGTATTATTTTAATACTATTATTATATTGATATTTTATTATTAAATATGTTACTATTATATAACATTTTATAATTATTAATTTATTACAATATGTTTATTAAAAAGTTAATAACATTATAGCTATTATACTATTATATAGTATATTATTATATCATTATTATATTAATATTTATTATCAATAGATTTTTATTATTTTTTATTAGCTTATTTATATTTATTATTATTTACTATTATATAATACATTATTAACATATTAAATACTAGTATTTAATATGTTATTATATTATTATATAAGATATTTTATTTATTGTATTTCTATATTTTTTGATAAATATTACTAATATATTAGATTAACTATAATATAGTGTAGTATAGTATAATAAGCATGTTGATAATAACTATATATTAATTACATTTAATATATTTTGTTAGATATTATATTAACACATTCTCAAACTCAAAACCAAAATACCAACTTAAAACACGTAAAAAGTGTTTTGAAATAAATGCTATTTTTTTGGTTTGAGAATAATTTAGCATCAAAAACACTATGGTTTCTAAACGCATGGTGTTTTGTTTTTGATAAAAACACCATGAAAACAAGTAAAACACCATGATATCCTATGTTACAGTGAAATCCCACATTTATCCCATATCAATTAACTCTGCAACTAATTTAATGTTAATAGGAAAATTGCCCCTACCTAGCCAGTAGCCACTTATAGACGTTTAAGAAAATGTGCTTTCCATGTCAAGGATAAAGTCAAATCCCTTCCCTTTGTATTTAAAGATTCATGTATTTTCCTCATGTGCGTATTTGAATATCTCTAAAATATCTTACATACTTCATTATTGTCCTTCACATCCCTTCTCCTCTGTTTCCCTAGTGAAGCAATGAATCCTCTCTATAGTGTACTTCTCTTCCTCTCGCAACCACTATCTCTTCTGCTTTGCTATCAACCTTTTTTGATGGGGATGAAATGATGGGATCAATTTCTTTGTTGCTCATTTCCACCATGAAGGAATCAACAATATATATTGCTACCTTTTTTCCTTCATAGCATACAGATCACAAAACATGTCAGCAGCTGCATTGTCCTGACTAGGATCATTTTCCTTGACAAGTATCATTTTATAGGTCTTATCCGTGATGGGATAGACGATGTATTAAGAACTGTCTATCATTGAATCTGTATAGAATAGTTGGAAGTAAAAAAAGAAAAAGCAGCAGTACAGAGTTGGAAGTGAAAAAGAAGAAAAAGAAAAGCACAATAATACATGCACCCTTCATAAACAATCAGATCGAGGCCTTTGATACATAACTCATAAAGTGAGAGTAATATCACCAGCGGAAAAAGAGGATTCAATCATAGAGCAGTCTCAAAAACAGTCATACTGCAGATCTGAAAAAGTGAGTCAGCACAAATCTTCAAGCATAACATTACCAACAAAATATAATCCTCACCTCTCTTCCATACGATACAGCAAATGTTTAAATATGACAGGAAACAACCATCCACTTAAATTACAACCTTGGTAGCAAAAAAGACATCCATGGGTCGTCTTTATTTTCAGTTGAAGTCACCAAAACAGTTGAGCCACAAGCATAGTGAAATCATCAGCAAAAGAATGTTGTCGCATATTTCATCGTTTACGTTCTGTACGCCATTTATAGACCGGTCTACTTGTTGGGGAGACCAACTCTTCTTCGCGAAGTTTGCGCTTACGGCCAGATTTCTGCTTCAAAGAGAAATAATCATCTCAACTTTATTTAATTACAACCTAAATGAACAAACTAGACAGAACAAACTAGACGGAAAAAATTCCGTCTAGTTTGTTTCGTCTAGTTTGAATCAATCTAGACGGAAATTTCCGTCTAGATTGACAAACTAGACGGGTTTTTTTTAATGAGCACTCAACCTAGACGGAATTTTCGTCTAGGTTGATGCAACCTAGACGGAAATTCCGTCTATGTTGCGTAAAAAATTTAACAGAGACTCCTCTTTTTTCATTTCTTGCCCGCCTCTTTTTTCTCCCCTCTCCATCTAAAAACCCCCAACATGGCCAAACCCCCAACATGGCCACCTCCCTCCGCCCTGTCTCTCTTCCAAACCCCCAAATCTCTCCCTCTTGCCGCCGCCACTCTGACAGCCCGACCACCGCTCTCCCCATGCCGTCTCTCGCTCCCTCCCCCGCCACTCCTCAAGTACCAAACCCTCCGCCGCCCTCTCTACCCTCGCCGGATCTAGCCATTTCCTTGCCAACCACCATTGTGATGGATGAGCCGAGAGAATTGCCGGATCTGGCCATTTCGGAGTTTGATGAGGAGGAAGCAGGTGGATTCGGATCGAGCTAGGGCTGGGAGTGGTCACCATAAGCTCACCAAAGAATTATCTATTCTTCAGCTAATTGCGATAGGTATTTCTTTAAAATTTTAATTTTTTGGTGATTTTGGTGTTATTAGTTCTTGTTTTATAGATTATCGTCAAAGAATCTATCGAAATGCTTGTTTTTATCTAAGAATTTGATGGAAATTTAGATTAATCTATCCTACTTTCTGGATGAACAAATTGTTGTATGAATTGATTAAGAACGAGAATGAGCAATGTTGCGTCACTTTGTTGAAGTTCGAACAAATTGTTGTATGAATTGATTAATTTCCTTTTTATATTAATTAGGAACATTTTTTTAATATTTTGGATTTGTCTTGTTCCCTTGGAAATGAAGACAGCCAGCTTAGAAAGCAAAAGGGAAAAAGTAGAGAAAGCAGGGTGAGAGAGTAAAAAGAGTAGATCAGTGGAGATTCTCTCATTTTTATCAGAGAGAGGGTGAGTTTATTTTTTTCTTCTTTTTCCTTCTTTTCCCAATATTTTAGCCAAATGAGGCAGGTTGCCTCCTTTTTCTGCCTTGCTGATTGCCCCATTCTCATCATCAGGCACTCACTCCCATTCTCCTCATTCTCTTCTATCTTGGTATTTTTGGGTATGAACCCATTTTCCTTTTAATCCACTTTCTTTAAATTTTTTTCCAATAGATTTTTCTAAGTGGGTTTTGTTCTATTGACTTGGATTTTGCATTCTAGTTCATTTCTTTGGAAATAGAGAGTGATTTCGGGGGAGTAAGTTTTGTGGGTCTCTTTGTTTTTGCTTATTGTAGATTTGGGTTTTGGAGATAGAGAAGGGAAATGGCGGGAGGAAGAGCAGCAGCACCAAAGCAGGATGAGTTGCAGCTCATCCAGTCAATGATCAGCTACTTTTTTTGAGGTAGCTGCATTTGCATGAGCTCTTACTATTTGTAACTGTATAAAAGTTGAGATCTGGTTGAATGTGAATTACTTGGTCTTGTGAAATTGACAGAGATTTATATGTTTCTACTTTTTGATACCAACCCCATTTTTAATTTAGTGATTTAGTCTGAAAAGACATTGTATGTGTGTAGTTCTTCCTTGTTTATGTTGTGATTGTTACTATCTAATTTACAGCTTTAGAATGCACTTATTTTGCATTACTTATTGCCACTAAGTTTGTCATAACATATTTTTCTGTCATCATGTTGCTTTAGATCTAGATCTGATAGCTTTGGTGTTTGGTTAGCTGCATGCATCAGCAATTATTTGCTACCTTTTAGTGTTTGGTGCGCATTTTCTTCTCAAGTTATTAAGGCTTAGTTGTAAATGGTTCTGTAGCGCAGATAGTATTGCTAGTGCTGGAAATGCAGCTAATTTTGTCACTATTTTCTGGCTTCAAGCATGATTTTATAATATCACGGATTTTCCATGCACAGGTAGCATTCGGCCTAATGATGCTTCAACAACTTGGAGGAGTAAATGCAATTGGATTCTATAAATTATGCAAAGTTCATCAAGTTATGCAAACAATTGTATTCTTTATTATCTATGTAAACAATTTCTCTCTCTCTAATATTTTGGTGAATGTATTATTTGAATATAATTGTATTTGAAAATATAATTATATTGTGTTGGATATGATAATGATTTGGTGTTGTACAATATTGTGTATATGTGATATTATATAGTGTGCAACGTAGATACTACCAAAAAAAACCACTGTAGCATCACAACCTAGATTTCCGCCTAGGCTGCTACAGTAACCATCCAGGTTGTTATGGTAGCAACCTAGACAGTTAATGTAGCAACCTAGACGGAAATTCCATCTATGTTGCTACAGTGGCTACCTAGACAGAATTTGAATTCCGTCTAGTTTGGTCAACCTAGACGGAATTCCGTCTAGTTTGACGCAAAATAGACGGAATTAACCTAAACGGATTTCCGTCTAGGTTGATCAATCTAGATGGGATTCCAAGCAACCTAGACGGAATTTTCTGTCTAGTTTGCGCGTTGTTCTACTAGTCATATGCTCATGACTATAGAGACATATAATACAACTAGCCCAAAAGGAAAGGCACGACAAAGTCACTCGCCCAGGAAGCAATACCAACTTAGGTTTATTTTCTACACGTATAACTAGAAAAATGTCTGATACATACGGAGTACGAAATGTTGTAGTCACTTATTTCCCATAAAAAATTTTGATCCCACTCACACCTCATTTATCAATTAGCATTGCGTTTTACCCCAAGTTTTAGAAGGTAATTTAGTCTTCTTTTTCCAGTTAAATGGAAGGTAAAAGGTAAATTATGAACACATGCCTAACTTGGAGTTCTGAAGGTTAAATGATTACTCCCTCGTAGTATAAGGTGTGTATCTGCAATTAGACCTTCAAACTTCAAATTTAGTTTTCTCACTTGAGCAAAGTGAAGGTATGAACCTGTAGTTCTTTCTGCAAAGCCATCTCGGAATATAATTTTTCTAATTGTTGAACCCTCTGCTTTCTTGATTCTACCTCAGCATATGAGCAAGCTGTTTTCCTGAGGGAAACAGTCAAGACAAACAACAGAACTGAACATCAGTTATGAAAATCCTATTTAGAAATGAAGGTTGAGCGAGAACTAGGAGTCTGCAAGGGGAACTAAATTGAAAACAAAATTAATTTGTATAAAGAAATGTCAATTTTATGAATAATTAGGAACTCACTTCTTTATGCTATTTGGCACTTTACTAAAAACAGGCGAATTGCTGCTCTCAAGTGACCTTGATCGTATATCCTTGGCTTCTTTCCTGACATAAAACAAAATGGAACTTCAAACTAGTATTCAAGGAAAGAGAGATGAATACAAGGAAATCAAACTGAAAAAACAGCTCTGGTAAACAATACAAGCTGATAATATATGCATACAAAATTATACACGAATATTTATCTAACTCCTCTCTCCTTGTACTTTTCTTACCAGTTACAATTCGAGTTCCATACTAAAAGGAGGCAATAAGAACAAAAAGGTCAATAGTAAGCAATCTTTAAACAAAAGGTCCTGATGTTAGCATAAGAGCAACTTAATACTAAAGAAAATTTTAAGAGAGAACAATAAACACAAAGCTTATCCGAACAATTGTAATCCAGGGAGAGCCAGGCTGGATCCTATACAGAGAGAACAATAAACACAAAGCTTATCCGAACAATTGTAATCCAGGGAGAGCCAGGCTGGATCCTATACATGGCACATAGATAAGCAAACAACATATCCAAGTCAGCATGTACAAGAACAAAGAAAATTTCAACAAATTGCAAGGCAGCAAGAAAGGCAAGAGCTTGGGCACGTAAGAAGAAAAAAAGAAGAAAAAGATTCAACAAATTGCAAGGCAGCAAGAAAGGCAAGAGCTTGGGCACGTAAGAAGAAAAAAAGAAGAAAAAGCAAGAAATAAATTGTACAGGTAAGGAGAAGAAAAAAAGAAGAAAAAGCAAGAAATAAATTGTACAGGTAAGGAGAAGTTAACGGAGGCTAGACCTGCAAGGCTCAAAGGATATAAAAATGCACAAGAGAAGAATCAACAGCATGGATGGAGCCTTTTCACAGAAAAAACTTGCACAACCCAAAACGACAGCAAGAAAAGCACACAATGAGATGGTCAACATATCACAAGGGCTGGACATCAGGAAACATGGCCATAAAAATCTGGAGCTCGACTGGAAATAGAATGCACTAAATCAAGATAAAGGGAAGCAAATTGGCAACCAACCGATGTGAGTCCACTTATACAGCTAACCAATGCAAGAGCTAGAAAAATACAAAAGCAACCATACAAGTATGACATAATAAAAAATAAATGAAATTATAGAATATGTCAACAGTAAGGATATTTACTGTGTCATGTTAATTTGTAGATGGCCTCCCAAGTAGAGTAATAGGTAAGACAGGCTCCTGAAATAGAAGTGGTTAACCTAATACCAAAAGCAAGCAAGAGAAAAGATTCTAAACATATCGATTTGGACTTTATTTGATATTCTATTTTGTAGGTTAAAATTGTTTAGCATAAGGCTTTCTAAATCCTCACAATTTTGGATCTCTAATCATTTGTACCCAGCATGGCAAGTATTCAAATCCAAGTATGGAAAGACATGTACATGATATCTGCATACAATGGTATGGATGTCATGTATACATAAGTTTTGTTGGTGGAAACATGCATGTTAAAATAGACATTAGACACTACTAAAGGTATGTGCTTGCTGGACTATCATTCTTCCCTCTACATCAATACTTTCTGCCTCATACATTAATACTCCTCCCCACCCCAAACCCTCTAAACAGAAGAAATACACGCAGACACAAAAACATACAATATTCCCTTAAAACACATAGACGCAATCACAAATATGAACCTCACTATTCTATCATTAAAAAGCACTATGAATGCTACATGCCAATAAAATGCAAAATTATATTCTCTGTTCCTTCGTCCTCAACTACAACATTCTTTATGATTCTCTCAAAGGTCATCCTTCACTCTTCTATCTTATTTCTTCAGAAATTAACTTCACATAGTCATACATCTCATTATCTGGGACTTCAACACTTGTGCAACTCACAACAACTAGCTATGAGATACTTTAGAATCCTTATCCTGCATGACAAATTACGTTCTTTGACAATCTCACAACATTAGCACAGGTGCTCATGAAATATGTGCACAACTGTTAAGGATTTTGGAGGTCAAAGACAACATTGTTGCCCTTTGTAATATGTAAATTTTTAGGAACAAAAGAAATGACAGGCTTTTGAAGTTTTGTCACGGTGCTTCTGTTGAGTAAAATGTGCCATGCAATTATTTAAATGTCGGCCGACATGTCGGACATGTCGGCCGACATATCGGTTTGAGGGCTTGACCGACACGTCATGGACGTTTTCAACTCGTATGTCGGTTTTCAGAGCCAAATCGGAAATATCAGGGTCATATCAGGCATATCGGCCTATTTTTTAACATTAAAAAATCGACCGATATGGTACTTTTTTTAAGATTTATTTTTTGTTATCGGGTTTGGGTTTAGTGATAAATACCCAAACCTGTTTGACCCGTGCTCATGTTTAAGGGTTTCTTATGAATCCGATAGAAAGAATTTATGAACCCAAATCCACATATTATTTACTTTTTTATATGTTTAGTCTATAGAATTTATAAAGTATGCTTATATTGAATTTATGAATGCTTAGATTACATTTAGGACATGATATTATACATATGCGCACTACCCGATATGACAATCCGATATTTAGTCAATGTCCCCCGATATATCCCCGATTTTCGCTATCCGACATGGGCCGACTAGGCGGAGGCGGTGCCTCTAACATGGAATTCAGCCTTGAGCGACACCTTTGGGCGCTGCGAGCGCCTAGGCGGCCGCCCAAAGCTAAGCGGGCCGCTTAAGCGGCCCGCCCCACTTAAAAAAAAAAAACGCCCGTTTCTCACTCACCCGAACCCAAAAAACCCAAACCCAATAACCAAAATCCCAAACCCAAAACCCTAATTCCCATTTCTCACTCACCCGACGCCGCAAGCAAGAAATTTCCAAAAATCGTCGTCAACCTCGTCGAAGCTCGAACTCGTCTTCAACCTCGGTCCTCGTCTTCGATCTTCAAGCTCGAATCGAACTCGCCTTCGTCTTCAACCTCGGTCCTCGTCTTCGATCTTCAAGCTCGAACTCATCTTCGTCTTCAACCTCGGTCCTCGTCTTCGATCTTCAAGCTCGAATCGAACTCGTCTTCGTCTTCAACCTCGGTCCTCGTCTTCGATCTTCAAGCTCGAACTCGTCTTCGTCTTCAACCTCGTCGCAGACAGGAGTTCGGAGCTTCGTCTTCAACCTCCGAGCTTCAACCTCGTCTTCGAACTCGTCGGAGCTTTGTCTTCAACCTCCGAGCTTCGTCTTCAACCTCCGAGCTCGTCTTCAACCTCCGATCTGTTCCTCGTCGAAGCCTCTGGATTCTCGAAGCGGTTGTGAGTCTGCTTCATCCCTGTAACAAGGTAAAGGATTATATGTTATTTGCTTATTTTATTTATCATTTTACTATTTCAGTCTTTTCAGGTGATGATCTTTAATGTTATTTATCATTTTACTATTCTGTTAAAATTTTTTTGTGATGGACAGTTTCTGTCTCAGTTTTAGCCTTTTAGGAATTTATTTATTGAGGATTAAGAAATGATGCTGGATATATAAGCAAGTGACACTGGCTACTTGTTTTATTTAGGAAATTATTTATTTGTGTCCTAGTGTATTTCACTGTAGAATTATTTCACTGTAGAATTAAATGATACTGAAATCAGTCTCTTTTTTTTATTATACAATGTAATAATACTTTAGTTTATCCCTTTATCATGATTTGATCTTATGTATATGAATGATTTGTTTGTTCATTTATTTCAGAATGTCGGGTGTTCCAACGAAGGAGTCTACGGGTTCCACCAATATCCCCGTACCTCCCGTGAAAGATAGAAGGAACTCAGGAGACATTGGTTGGGAGTTTGGATTTTGTCCGGACCCAAAAAATTTGAATATGGTGCAATGCAAACTATGTGGGCACAAGGTGAATGCGGGGATCCATCGATTTAAGAAGCATCTTGCAGGGTTGAGGGGGGACACCAAACCATGTTTGAAGATTAGTGAAAAAGATAAGCAGAGGGTGAAAGAAGTCATTGATGCTAATTCGAAGAAGAAGCAAGTTAAGGAGAGGCACACTATAGACTTAGAAGAAGAACTTCATACGACGAGGCCGTGTGATGAAGAAAAAGATGAAGAAGAAATCATCTCTCCTTCCATAGGCGATGGGTCTTCAAAGAGGTCTAGAGAGCCTACTGTTGGGCCGATGGATGCTTACACCGCTAATGATCCAGAGCTAGCGAAAAGGTTGAAAGGGAAAATGAAGCAGACAGGAGTGAAGGATTCTTTCCTGAAGGAGAAGAGAGATTGGGTGCATGATCAGTTGGCTACTTGGGCATATGAAAATGCCATCCCCTTTCATGCCATCTCCACGGATTCTTTTACGAAGGCATGCATGGCTATTGGAGACTATGGACCGAGCTACAGGCCTCCCAGCATGTACATGTTGAGGGAGCCCTTATTGCGAAGAGCTGTTGAGAGAACAAAAGTCTCCTTAAAAACGCATGAGGAGGAGTGGGGCAAGACTGGATGTTCCATTATGACTGATGCTTGGTCGGACAGAAAGATGCGGTCGGTAATGAATCTTTGCATCCACTGCAGATTGGGGACAACTTTTCATAAGTCAATTGAAACCAAAGAGGAAGCACATACAGGACAATATATATTTGAGTGGGTTAATACGGCTATTGAGCAGATTGGAGCTGATAAAGTCATTCAGGTTGTCACGGATAATGCAGCTGCAAATATGGCCGCGAAGGAGCTTTTATATAGGAGGAGGCCGAGGATTTTTTGGACTAGTTGTGCAGCACACACTGTTGACCTGATGCTTGAAAGCATCAGGAAGTTGAGTTTATTCAAAGGACCAATTGAGAAGGCTGTTCGCGGGGAAAATCGTGTTCTTTATTAATAGTCATCACAAGACATTGTCTATGATGCGTCGCATTTGTGACAAAAAAGGGAGCATGTGAGACCTGGAGTTACTCGTTTGGCCACTACATTTTTGACATACTGGGGAGTCTATCTTCGAGAAGAACAGGGAAGTTGAGATTTATGTTTTCGCGATGAAGCATGGGTGAGATGCAAGCTTGCAAAGACCGCTAAAGGCGGCTAAGGTGGAGGGCGATTGCTATGAGTGATAGTTGGTCCGGACAGGGCGGTGGCCAAGATCTTGAAAGGTGTATGCATCTATCTTTTTGATTATTGGAGGGTGGTCGATAGTGACTACAAACCCTCAATGGATTTGTGGTGGGGATGAAATTGGAAAGATATGAAGAAGGAGATCATTCAAGTTTTCAAGAAATTAAGGAGAAGGATTTCAAGCCCGTGAATTGATATTAAGATGGGAAGTCCAAGATGGCTCTTTTCTCCCTTGCATATGGCTTCTTACTACCTCAACCCTTACTATTTCTATAGGGATGATGTAGTGAAGAATTGCAAAAGGGCGAAAGATGGATTTCTAGATGTGGTGGAGTTGTTCTATCCTGATGTAGAGCAACAAGTTGAAATTCATACTCAAGAGTTGGAGAGATACAGAGAAGGAAAGGGTTCATTTGCTAGGATTGGAGCGGTGAAGGCTAGAGAGAAATCAGACTTGAACCCAGGTAAAATAATTTTAGAAATTGAATCATATATGACTTATAAGTTATCTATTGTGCCATTGTGGTAGTGAATCAACTAATAATATATTATTTTTTGTAGCTAATTGGTGGTATTTGCATGGTGGTGATTGTCCCTTCATGCAAAATATGGCTATGAAACTTCTCAACTTGACAAGCAGCTCTTCTGGTTGTGAAAGGAATTGGAGCACATTTGAGGGGGTAAACTAATTTCTAAACTTATGAAAAATATGAAATTCTTCTTAGTTGTGTTTTCTAATTTGTGTCCTTTACTTTTGAAGATTCATACGAAGAAGAGGAATAGATTGGAATCGAAGAGGTTAGAGGAACTGGTCTATGTGAAGTTTAACTCAAAGCTCAACCAGAAGAAGAGGAGAGGAGAAAACAAGAACCTACTACTATCTACTGATCGTAGTAAGGCACGAGCATGGATCCTAGAAGGAGCAGGCTCCGATGATGAGGAAGAAGTTCATCCTGGCTCAGGTCTTACTTGGAGGATGGTAGAGGGTATATCGGGAGCGGCTGAGGCTGCGGAGAATAGGAGTTCTAGGCTAGCAGGACCTTCAAGTGCTTCTACTTCAGTGATAGATGATGAAGAAGAGCCTCTTGTCTCGGATGATGATGTTTCAGACGAAGAGGAGGATTGTGTGGAGATGGATTCTGGAGAGGATAGCGATGATGGAGTAGAGGAGGAACTTCATGATGATGATGATGTTTGATGATGACATTAGATTAGATGCATATTGCTAATTCATTATATTACATCTAGACTATTCCTGTTTGACTATCTTTTTGCTGATATTTTGGGACATAAACTTCTAGTTATTGGATATTATATGCCTTGTCATTTAGTATGTATGCATCTTTGATTGACTATTATACTTTGGATAGCATATGTGTTGTGTTGGTATTTTTGTATTTATGCATTGTTGATTGAGTATATAAATTTATCTTCAAGTATCACAATTAAAAAAAGAAAAACCGCCCAGAAGAAAAAAACCGCCCAGAAACCGCTTAGGCGCCCGCCTAGGCGTCTAAGCGCTGGGCGCCAAGTCCGGCGCCCAGGAGCGCCCAGCGTTTAATGTAACATTGATTGGTGCCATGCAATTAGTCAATTTCTAATGCATCGCCATGCAATTAGTCAATTTCTAATGCATCAAGTTTCATTGACTTAAGAGATCACGAGAAAAACTTGCTACGAAAAATTGCATCAATTTCTAACATTATTTGGACGACATACACTGATCAATTTAATCAGGTTCCTCGTGTGCTAACTTATCCTTCATTAATCCAAGTCAAATGTGGTCTCTACCAAATCAAATGATCGAATAAAATGAACCAAACACACTCTTTCATATTTTCCTTTAATTAAGATCATTAATCCTAAAAGTTCCAATGAGCTTTTTTGTCTCAAATATTAAGGTCAAAAATCATATTCAGAGAGGAGTTAGATGGCCTGATCTAATAATAGCCTTCCCAATTTGAATTGCCTGACTATAGCTACTTGATTATCTAGACTGCATCCCTGTCTTATGACATGCATACCAAAATGTCTAAATAAAATATGTATGTTATAGCTGCTTAATCTTTTCTTAGCTATACAAAACTATTTCAATACATTCATTCTGTAAAGCACTCTTTAAGGAAAACTTTCAGAAAAAAATGGACACAGAAGATCAAACCAAGGTAAAGTGACATAAACACTTAAAATAACAAGGTTGGCCAACATTGGGATATTCTCACCTGTTTTCAGCATAGAAAACACGCTTGTTCAGGGGCTGGTTATCCAATGCATGGAGTACAGAAGTCAATCTTTCAATTTTCTAAAACAATAGAGAACATCACTCGCAATTAAACCATAAAAGATATGACATTTCATATGGTAAGCAGATCTCGCTTGGCTACTCAACAAACCTTCTTTTCACTTTGAATTTTTTGAAGAATGTACCCCATATCCTGAGTCTTCATTAGCATGAGCTCCTCTTGAGTATACTTGTTTGCTTCACTCCTAAAAAAATCATAGACCAATGAATCTCATAGCAGAATATCTTGCGAAACTTAAGAAGTCTGAACTTATATTACGGTGGCCTATGGACCCCATTGATAGTCCTAGTGTTGATCATCTTGAAGTAGAACTCATCAGGATTTCTGAACTCTGCCTTCTCCTTCAATTTCTGCAAAAAACCAGTTGAAACAAACCCATTAATTCTTTCTTCTTTTCTCTATAGATTTTCTTGAGAGGAAAAAACCAGTTGTAGAGAACAGCATAAAAGTGACATACTGACCCTGCCATTTCAATTTTTGAAGTTAATTTTACATAAAAATTATAGTAATTGGACAATAATTAATTCTATGACCATAGAAAAATGTATACGATTTTTATACCTAAAACAGATGATTATATAAAAAATTGATAATGATTATTTAAGGTTGAAGAGGAGGGGCACAGTGTTCCTCCTAAACTCTATAGGTGCCATTTGGCAACGGGTTAAGTGAGCGGTTAAGTCTTCTTAACCCCTTCTAAACCCGTCAAGCACAAAAAGAACTATACAATAATTAAAGTGAGTTTACACTCCATAATTTGTCAAACGCAAATATTGCATAAGGGTTAAGCTAACCCCTGTAAAAGAATTAAAATGAGTTAACTCATCAAAATGAGCGGTTAAGTCTTCTATCCACGGTTTTGACTGATTGTTTTGAACACTAAAAGTGAAGGACTGAATACCTTGGTGAGCTAGTAAACTAGTGTGTTGCTCCACATGGAATGGAGATGCATGGTTAGGGACAGAAGCTTGACTGAACATTTTTTGCAGTGCCTCAATTTGCTCTTTGGTGAATGGACTACCTTCTGCACTGTTGTTAGTTGTAGCAATAGTGTTTGCACGGGATTCCCTATCATGTCGACCACCGGATGGCTTCCAATCTGCAGGTTTACCGTGTAACTTCCAGCAAGTTGCCTTGACATGTCCAAGCTTCTTACAATGATCACACCATGGACGTCCTTTGCCAGCCTTATTGTTCTGTGATGAACTATGCTGCAGGGGTGGCATTAGTATCTGACAGCATCAATTTCTTTCTGCTCTCCTCCCTTCGGACTTCAGGAAATGCCTCCTGGATGGTGGGAAATGGTTTAATCCCCATAACTCTTCCTCTGTGCTAGAATACGTTTCACTGTGCTAGAATACGTTTCACGTGCTGCTTCTCATATCTTCTTGGCTGTCCTAAGGAGTAGAAAGTTTTCTCCAACTTCAGTGGTCAAAATTTATTAGCCATGACATTACTAGATGATCATCAGTTTTTCAGGATCGATATTTAGGATCCGTAGCCTCTGGAACAGCCGTTTCACCAGTGAGATGTCCATCCTTCCCTTTGCCACAGACAAACATGAACATAGATAGGGACCCAGCCGTTTCACCAGTGAGATGTCCATCCTTCCCTTTGCCACAGACAAACATGAACATAGATAGGGACCATTGCAAAAAGTTCTGCCCATAGAGTTTCTGATTCGTGATAAGATGTGGAGAAGAATTAGGATTTGTGGAAACAGGAATAATGTGCTCGGATCGAATTAGATTGTGAAGTCATGTCGTATTTGGTCATGGGAGAGAATCGGCCAAATGAATGAAAGACCAGACGAGAAGAACGAAAAAAGAATTAGAGCTCAAAGACCTCGCTCTGATACCATGAAGAAATTGTGAATATTCTTCATTAATTTTAAACAAGAGAATTACATCCTAATATAGTGGACGGGTGGCTGGCATACTATTCCAACAAAAAATTAAACCGATCCCTTTAAATCAGGAATTCCAACAAATTAGGAAACTAACTAAATTACAAATAGAAAATAAATCTAATCTAATCTTCTCAAAATAAAGAAAGTAATCTTCCTAATGATTCGATTCCTTTTTCAACACAAGCTCTTGCCTTTCTTGCTGTCTTGCAATTTGTTGAATTTTCCTTTGTTCTTGTACATGCTGACTTGGATAAGTTGTTTGCTTATCTACGTACCATGTATAGGATCCAGCCTGGCTCTCTCTGGATTACAATTGTTCGGATAAGCTTTGTGTTTATTGTTCTCTCTTAAAATTTTCTTTAGTATTAAGTTGCTCTTATGCTAACATCAGGACCTTTTGTTTAAAGATTGCTTACTCTTGACCTTTTTGTTCTTATTGCCTCCTTTTAGTATGGAACTCGAATTGTAACTGGTAAGAAAAGTACAAGGAGAGAGGAGTTTGATAAATATTCGTATATAATTTTGTATGCGTATATTATCAGCTTGTATTGTTTACCAGAGCTGTTTTTTCAGTTTGATTTCCTTGTATTCATCTCTCTTTCCTTGAATACTAGTTTGAAGTTCCATTTTGTTTTATGTCAGGAAAGAAGCTAAGGATATACGATCAAAGTCACTTGAGAGCAGCAATTCGCATGTTTTTTATTAAAGTGCCAAATAGAATAAAGAAGTGAGTTCCTAATTATTCATAAAATTGACATTTATTTATACAAATTAATTTTGTTTTCAATTTAGTTCCCCTTGCAGACTCCTAGTTCTCGCTCAACCTTCATTTCTAAATAGGATTTTGATAAATGATGTTTAGTTCTGTTGTTTGTCTTGACTGCTTCCCTCAGGAGAACAGCTTGCTCATATGCAGAGGTAGAATCAAGAAAGCAGAGGGTTCAACAATTAGAAAAACTATACTCCGACATGGCTTTGCAGAAAGAACTACAGGTTCATACCTTCACTTTGCTCAAGTGAGAAAACTAAATTTGAAATTTGAAGGTGGTCTACTTGCAGATACACACCTTATACTACGAGGGAGTAATCATTTAACCTTAAGATCTCCAGACATCATTATTTTTCCAAGTTAGGCATGTGTCCATAATTTACCTTTTACCATCCGTTTAACTGAAAAAAGAAGACTAAATTGCCTTCTAAAATTAGGGGTAAAACACAATGCTAATAGATAAATGAGAAGGTGAGAGTGGGAATCGAAAATTTTTATGGGAAATAAGTGACTAAAGCATTTCGTAATCGGTGTGTATAAGACATTTTTCTAGTTATATGTGTAGAAAATAAACCTAAGTTAGCATTGCTTCCTGGGCGAATGATTGATTTTATCATACCTGATTTACGTTTTCCTTTGCGGCTAGTTGTATTACATGTCTCTATAGTCATGAGCATAGGTTGCATAATTAAATAAAATCGTGATAATTATTTCTTTTTGAAACAGAAATCTGGCCGTAAGCGTAAACTTCGTGAAGAAGAGTTGGTCTCCCCAACAAGTAGACCGGTCTACAAATGGCGTACAGAACGTAAACGACGAAATATGCGACAACATTCTTTTGCTGATGATTTCACTATGCTTGTGGCTCCTCAACTGTTTTGGTGACTTCAACTGAAATTTAAGTGGATGGTTGTTTCCTGTCATGTTTAAACACCATTGCTGGTATGCTTGAATTTTTTGTGTTTATTCACTTTTTCAGATCTGCAGTATGACTGTTTTTTAGACTGCTCCATGATTGAATCTTCTTTTTCCGCTGGTGACACTACTCACTTTATGAATTATGTATCAAAAGCCTTGATCTGATTGTTTATCAGGGGTGCAAGTATTATTGTGCTTTTCTTTTTCTTTTTCTTTTTTACTTCCAACTCTGTTCTGCTTTTTCTTTTTTACTTCCAACTATTCTATACTGATTCAATAATAGCGGTTCTTTGTTGCTCATTTCCACCATGAAGGAATCAACAGTATATGCTGCTACTTTTTGATTTCATAACATACAAATCACAAAGCATGTCAGTAGCTGCATTGTCCTGACTAGGACCATTTTCCTTGACAAATATCAATTTATGTCTTATCCGTGATGGGATCGATGATGTATTAAGAACCGTCTATTATTGAATCAGTATAGAATAGTTGGAAGTAAAAAAGAAAAAGCAGTACAGAGTTGGAAGTAAAAAAGAAAAAGAAAAAGAAAAGTACAATAATACATGCACCCTTGATAAACAATAGATCAAGGCTTTTGATACATAATTCATACAGTGAGTAGTGTCACCAGCGAAAAAAGAGGATTCAATCATGGATCAGTCTCAAAAACAATCATACTGCAGATCTGAAAAAGTGAATAAACACAAAAAATTCAAGGATACCAGCAATGGTGTTTAAACATGACAGGAAACAACCATCCACTTAAATTTCAGTTGAAGTCACCAAAACAGTTGAGGAGCCACAAGCATAGTGAAATCATCAGCAAAAGAATGTTGTCGCATATTTCGTCGTTTACGTTCTGTACGCCATTTGTAGACCGGTCTACTTGTTGGGGAGACCAACTCTTCTTCACGAAGTTTACGCTTACGGCCAGATTTCTGTTTCAAAAAGAAATAATTATCACGATTTTATTTAATTATGCAACCTATGCTCATGACTATAGAGACATGTAATACAACTAGCCGCAAAGGAAAACGTAAATCAGGTATGATAAAATCAATCACTCGCCCAGGAAGCAATGCTAACTTAGGTTTATTTTCTACACATATAACTAGAAAAATGTCTTATACACACCGATTACGAAATGCTGTAGTCACTTATTTCCCATAAAAATTTTCGATTCCCACTCTCACCTTCTCATTTATCTATTAGCATTGTGTTTTACCCCTAATTTTAGAAGGCAATTTAGTCATCTTCTTTTTTCAGTTAAACGGATGGTAAAAGGTAAATTATGGACACATGCCTAACTTGGAAAAATAATGCTGTCTGGAGATCTTAAGGTTAAATGATTACTCCCTCGTAGTATAAGGTGTGTATCTGCAAGTAGACCACCTTCAAATTTCAAATTTAGTTTTCTCACTTGAGCAAAGTGAAGGTATGAACCTGTAGTTCTTTCTGCAAAGCCATGTCGGAGTATAGTTTTTCTAATTGTTGAACCCTCTGCTTTCTTGATTCTACCTCTGCATATGAGCAAGCTGTTCTCCTGAGGGAAGCAGTCAAGACAAACAACAGAACTAAACATCATTTATCAAAATCCTATTTAGAAATGAAGGTTGAGCGAGAACTAGGAGTCTGCAAGGGGAACTAAATTGAAAACAAAATTAATTTGTATAAATAAATGTCAATTTTATGAATAATTAGGAACTCACTTCTTTATTCTATTTGGCACTTTAATAAAAAACATGCGAATTGCTGCTCTCAAGTGACTTTGATCGTATATCCTTAGCTTCTTTCCTGACATAAAACAAAATGGAACTTCAAACTAGTATTCAAGGAAAGAGAGATGAATACAAGGAAATCAAACTGAAAAAACAGCTCTGGTAAACAATACAAGCTGATAATATACGCATACAAAATTATACACGAATATTTATCTAACTCCTCTCTCCTTGTACTTTTCTTACCAGTTACAATTCGAGTTCAATACTAAAAGGAGGCAATAAGAACAAAAAGGTCAAGAGTAAGCAATCTTTAAACAAAAGGTCCTAATGTTAGCATAAGAGCAACTTAATACTAAAGAAAATTTTAAGAGAGAACAATAAACACAAAGCTTATCCGAACAATTATAATCCAGGGAGAGCCAGGCTGGATCCTATACATGGTACATAGATAAGCAAACAACTTATCCAAGTCAGCATGTACAAGAACAAAGGAAAATTCAACAAATTGCAAGGCAGCAAGAAAGGCAAGAGCTTGTGTTGAAAAAGGAATCGAATCATTAGGAAGATTACTTTCTTTATTTTGAGAAGATTAGATTAGATTTATTTTTTATTTATTATTTGTAATTTAGTTAGTTTCCTAATTTGTTGGAATTCCTGATTTAAAGGGATCGGTTTTATATTTTGTTTGACTAGTATGCCAGCCGCCCGTCCACTATATTAGGATGTAATTCTCTTGTTTAAAATTAATGAAGAATATTCACAATTTCTTCATGGTATCAGAACGAGGTCTCTGAGCTCTAATTCTTTTTTCGTTCTTCTCGTCTGGCCTTTCATTCATTTGGCCGATTCTCTCCCATGACCAAATACGGCATGGCTTCACAATCTAATTCGATCCGAGCACAGTATTCATGTTTCCACAAATCCTAATTCTTCTCCACATCTTATCACGAATCAGAAACTCTATGGGCAGAACTTTTTGCAATGGTCCCTATCTATGTTCATGTTTGTCTGTGGCAAAGGGAAGGATGGACATCTCACTGGTGAAACGGCTGGGTCCCTATCTATGTTCATGTTTGTCTGTGGCAAAGGGAAGGATGGACATCTCACTGGTGAAACGGCTGCTCCAGAGGCTACGGATCCCAAATAGAAAAACTGATGATCATCTAGTAATGTCATGGCTAATAAATTTTGACCACTGAAGTTGGAGAAAACTTTCTACTCCTTAGGACAGCCAAGAAGATATGAGAAGCAGCACGTGAAACGTATTCTAGCACAGTGAAACGAATTCTAGCACAGAGGAAGAGTTATGGGGATTAAACCATTTCCCACCATCCAGAAGGCATTTGCTGAAGTCCGAAGGGAGGAGAGCAGAAAGAAATTGATGCTGTCAGATACTAATGCCACCCCTGCAGCATAGTTCATCACAGAACAATAAGGCTGGCAAAGGACGTCCATGGTGTGATCATTGTAAGAAGCTTGGACATGTCAAGGCAACTTGCTGGAAGTTACACGGTAAACCTGCAGATTGGAAGCCATCCCGTGGTCGACATGATAGGGAATCCGGTGCAAACGCTATTGCTACAACTAACAACAGTGCAGAAAGTAGTCCATTCACCAAAGAGCAAATTGAGGCACTGTAAAAAATGTTCAGTCAAGCTTCTGTCCCTAACCATGCATCTCCATTCCATGTAGAGCAACACACTAGTTTACTAGCTCACCAAGGTATTCAGTCCTTTCGCTTTTAGTGTTCAAAACAATCAGTCAAAACCGTGGATAGTTGACTCAGGTGCCTCGGACCATATGACTGAAGATCTCAGTACTCTCACAAGCCTTGCACCAATCATTCAGGAGTCAGAATTGCAGATGGATCGCTTTCCCTAGTTGCAGGAACTGGATCAGTTCATTTAACAGAGAATTTCCATCTTTCATTTGTTCTTTATGTTCCAAAATTGAACTGCAATTTACTTTCTATTAGTCAACTCACTCGGGGCCTCAATTGTGTTACTAAATTCTATTCCAATTTTTGTGTTTTTCAGGCAATGGATTCGAGGAAGGTGATTGGCGGTGCTGATATGCATAGTGGTATATATCTGCTCAAACAAAAGAATCTTCCAAGTAGACAAGTTCATCAGTCAAGTTGTGTTCCAGAATCCAGTCCAAATTCTAAGTTTGTTTTTATTCTAAGTCTGTTTCTGATTCCAATTATGTGTCTGTTTTAATTGATAGTCAGGTCATGTTATGATATTATCGCCTTGGTCATCCAAACTTTGCTTATATTAAAAAATTGTTCCCTCATTTGTTCATCAATAAAAATTCCAATTTTTATCAATGTGAAGTTTGTCAACTAGCAAAACACACTAGACATGTATATTCAAGTTTACAATACAAACCCTCACATCCTTTTTCTGTGATCCCTAGTGATATTTGGGGACCCTCGCGTGTGAAAAATATCAATGGAACTAGGCGGTTTGTAACATTCATAGATGATCATACAAGAACCACTTGGACCTTCCTTATGAAAGAAAAATCCGAAACAGCCACCATTTTCCAATCTTTTCATACCATGATCTCTACTCAATTCAAAAGCCAAATCCAGGTCCTAAAAACGGACAATGCTAAATTACTTCAATTCCATCCTTGGCTCTTACTTGTCAGAACATGGTATAATTCACATAAGTTCTTGTATTGACACTCCACAACAAAATGGAGTGGCTGAAAGAAAAAACAGACATTTGCTTGAGGTAGCCCGTGCCACTATGTTTACCAATAATGTCCCTAAACATTTTTTGGGGGAAGCCATTCTCACAGCAACATATCTCATAAATAGGATGCCTAGTCGTGTCCTAAAATTTCAAACTCCTCGTCATGTCCTCACCACCACACATCCACATATCCTAGCTTTCACTTCTGACCTACCTCTCAAAGTCTTTGGTTATTCTTCCCTTGTTCATATCCATCACAGTCATCGCACCAAACTTGATCCCAAATCTCTCAAGTGTATTTTCCTTGGCTACTCCTCACATCAAAAGGGTTATAAGTGTTATTCTCCCATCACCAGAAAAATATATAATTCCATGGATGTAACCTTCTTCGAAAATCAACCTTACTTTCCCAAATCCGACATTCAGGGGTAGAGTTCAAGGGAATATCAAATTTGGGATCTCCTCCAAGACACCCAAGCCAATTTCACTCCACAAAATCAGCCTTCAAATCCGAATTCAACTCTTGTTCCAGCCATTGTTCCTAACCACACAATCCCAGTTCTGACACCTGAAACAGAACCAACAACCACTCCAGAAGCAGACCCAACAATCATACATCCACCACAACGTGACACTCACAACACTGAACTTCATGTCTATAGAAGAAGACCAGCCGAGCACCCAGAAGAAACTATGCAGACTCAGCACTCTCAATTACAAGAGCCAAATCCAACTGTATGGATTCCTCTCCTCATCACACTCTTGCTCCTATGATTCCTCTCCAACTGTTCATAATGGTATGGATTCCTCTCCTCATCACACTCTTGCTCCTATGATTGATGACTCAAATTTGCCTATTGCTCATAGGAAAGGGGTTCGTGGGTGCACTAAACACGCCATAGGAAAGGGGTTCATGGGTGCACTAAACACCCCATTAAGAGATATGTAGCATATAGAAAATTAATACCGTCCTACAAGGCCTTTGACACTAATCTGGACAGTGTGAAGGTACCTGAATCAATTCAAGAAGCCCTCATGAGCCCAGCATGGAAGAAGACAGTAGAGGAAGAAATTCGGGCTTTGGAAAAGAATAACACATGGATCCTTACAGAGCTACCACCAGGCAAGAATCCAGTTGGATGCAAGTGGATATTCACAGTGAAGTATAAAGCTGATTGAAGCATAGACAGATTCAAGGCAAGACTTGTGGCAAAGAGGTTCACTCAATCTTATGGGATTCACTACCAGGAGACTTTTGCACCTGTAGCTAAATTGAACACAGTTCGTGTTCTACTTTCCCTTGCGGTAAATCAAGATTGGCCATTATATCAACTTGATGTTAAAAATGTGTTTCTAAATGGGGATCTTGAAGAGGAATCTACATGAACATACCTCCTGGACTAAATAGCAAGAAAAACCACAGATTAGGTTGTAGATTAAAGAAATCTTTGTATAGCTTGAAGCAGTCTCCTCGTACATGGTTTGACAGGTTTGCTAAGACTGTGACAGCTAATGGATATCAGCAATGTCAGGCAGATCATACACTCTTTGTTAAAGGTGTAGCTGGAGGGAAGATGGCCATCCTCATACTCTATGTAGATGATATCATCCTAACAGGAGATGATTCAGAGGAGATTCTCAACCTGAAAAGGTTACTGGCAACAGAATTTGAGATCAAGGACAAGGATCTTAGGACACTAAGGTATTTTCTAGGAATGGAGGTGGCCCGGTCAAAGGAGGGGATTGTTATATCCCAAAGGAAATACATCTTGGATTTGCTAGGTGCAACAGGTTTACTTGGATGCAAGTCTGCCGATACACCTACGGATTCAACCAAAAGACTAAGTGAAGAAAGCAGTCCTGTTGACAAGGGAAGGTATCAAAGGTTGGTTGGAAAACTCATCTACCTATCTCACACTAGACCTGATATTGCTTATTCAGTCAGCATAGTTAGTCAACACATGAACAATCCAAATGAGGATCATTTAGAGGCAGTAAACAGTATTTTGAGATATTTGAAGATGACTCCTGGACACGGTTTACTCTTTAAAAAATGTGAAAACCGTGAAGTAGAAATCTATACTGATGCTAGTTAGGCAGGAGAACAAACTGATAAAAGATCAACTACTGGCTACTGCTCTTATGTGTGGGGAAATCTTATCACTTGGAGAAGCAAAAAGGAGGCTGTGGTATCACGGAGTAGTGCAGAGTAAGAATATTGAGCACTTGCTCTTGGACTATGTGAAGGAATGTGGCTACAAAGATTGCTAAGATAACTCAAGGTTGAAGTACAAACCTCAGTGATGCGGGACGATGGGAATTTTTAGGGTTTTAGGTAAGGGATTTGGGAAATTTGGGGAAGAACAAAGATTTGGGGAAAGCTAGGGTTTGAAAAATTAACAAGATATGACCACGAATCGTAACCCGAGCCTTGGCTTCACCACCATTGACTCAATCTTAGAGATCAAATCAATTACCCAAAGTTTCACAAATGAAACGCTTCACCACCATTGACTCAATCTTAGAGATCAAATCAATTACCCAAAGTTTCACAAATGAAACAAAATTTTCTTCAAATAATCTTAGAGATCAAATCAATTACCCAAAGTTTCACAAATGAAACAAAATTTTCTTCAAATATTCATTGTTTTATTTCATAGAATTGACCTCTTTAAATAGGCCTTCAACAACTACAAGTTCACTCCCATATCCGATGTGGGAGTAAAAAAAGAGCAAATACAATAAGGAGAATAAAAGTAACACTAGCTAGACTCCTAGCCTTCTCAAAATCAAAACCAAATATAAGCTGAAGCAACACGACGACGACGGTAAAAGTATGTGCGAAGTGGAGGCTGTGCGATGTCCTCATCACTCAGTCAAAATGTACAATGACAGTCAAGCAGCTATTAGCATAGCCAAAAACCATGTTCACCATGATAGAACGAAGCACATTGAGATTGATTGACACTTCATTTCAGAGAAGGTCAACGATGGGATTGTTCAGCTTAGCTATATATTCCAACAAAACAACAGATTGCTGATGTTCTCACCAAGGCACTTCCAAGTGTCAGTTTTGATGAATTAAACTCCAATCTTGGTTTGTATTAACATATACAACCCAGCTTGAAGGGGAGTGTTGAAAAAAGAATCGAAACATTAGGAAGATTAGTTTCTTTATTTTGAGAAGATTAGATTAGATTTAGTTTCTGTTTATTATTTGTAATTTAGTTAGTTTCCTAATTTGTTGGAATTCCTGATTTAAAGGGATTCGATTTTATATTTTGTTGGACTGGTATGCCATCCACCCGTCCACTATATTAGGATGTAATTTTCTTGTTTAAAATAATGAAGAATATTCACAATTTCTTCAGCTTGAGCACGTAAGAAATAAAAAAGAAAAAAGAAAGAAAAAAATTGTACAGCTAAGGAGAAGTTAATGGAAGCTAGACCCGCAAGGCTCTAAGGATATAAAAATGCACAAGAGAAGAATCAACAGCATGGATGGAGCCTTTTCACATAAAGGCTTGCACAACCCAAAACGGCAGCAAGAAAAGCACACAATGAGGTGGTCAACATATCACAAGGGATGGACATCAAACATGGCCATAAAAATCTGGAGCTCGACTGGAAATAGAATGCACTAAGTCAAGATAAACGGAAGCAAATTGGCAACCAACTGATGTGAGTCCACTTATACAGATAACCAAAGCAAGAACTAGAAAAATACAAAAGCAACAATACAAGTATGACATAATAAAAAATAAATGAAATCTATAGAAGATGTCAACAGTAAGGATATTTACTGTGTCATGTTGATTTGTAGATAGCCTCCTTAGTAATAGGTAAGACAAGCTCCTGAAATAGAAGTGATTAACCTAATACCAAAAGCAGGCAAGAGAAAAGATTCTAAACATATCGATTTTGACTTTATTTGATATTCTATTTTGTATGTTAAAATTGTTTAGCATGAGGCTTTCTAAATCCTCACAATTTCGGATCGCTAATCATCTGTACCCAACATGGCAAGTATTCAAATCCAAGTATGGAAAGACATGTACATGATATCTGCATACAATTGTATGGATGTCATGTATACATAAGTTTTGTTGGTTACTAAAGGTATATGCTTGCTGGACTATCATTCTTCCCTCTACATCAATACTTTCTGCCTCTAATACATTAATACTCCTCCCCACCACAAACCCTCTAAACAGAAGAAATACATGCAGACACAAAAACATACAATATCCCCTTAAAACACATACACGCAAGCACAAATAACCTCACTATTCTATCATTAAAAAGCACTATGAATGCTACAGGGCAATAAAATGCAAAATTATATACTTCGTTCCTTTCTCCTCAACTACAACATTCTTTATGATTCTCTCAAAGGTCATCCATCACTCTTCTATCTTATTTCTTCAGAAATTAACTTCACATAGTCATACATCTCATTATCTGGGACTTCCACACTTGTGCAACTCACAACAACTAGCTATGAGATACTTTAGGATCCTTATCCTTCATGACAGATTATGTTCTTTGACAATCTCACAACATTAGCATAGGTGCTCATGACATATGTGCACAACTGTTAAGGATTTTGGAGGTCAAAGACAACATTGTTGCCCTTCGTAATAGGTAAATTTTTAAGAACAAAAGAAAGGACAGGCTTTTGAAGTTTTGTCACAATGCTGCTGTAGAGTAAAATGTGCCATGCAATTACTCAATTTCTAATGCATCAAGTTCCATTGACTCGAGATCATGACAAAAACTTACTACGAAAAATTGCATCAAAATGAGAGGTTTACTAATACTCCTATTTAGAAGGATTAAGAGTTAACCCCTCTATGATTCTATCTATAAACAAAATACTCTAACTCATTATTCCCAAGCACTAAAAATGATCACAATGGCTAAAACAAAACTTATTTGACGGGGTTATCAAATGGGTTAACTACGTTAATCCTTCTCTTTAAGCTATCTTCCTTAACCCTTTGCCAATACGGGATTTTCTGTCTCTTAGAGCCTCTTCCTTCTGGTGAAAAGCTTTTGCTCGCAAAACATAATCTTTATGCTTCTCCAGAATCCCAAACTTCTTCCTCGCCTCACTGCAAATTTCCACAATCAAATCCATCAATCAAAATTGCAACTTTTTCATATTTTTCAAACGAAGGCAAAAATTTTATGAGAACTCACGGCTGGGCTCGCTCCTTGTGAGCCCTTCTAGGGATTGCGTTCCGAAGCGACGACATCTTCGATACGAGAATGAATTTGTTAGTTTCTGCAAAAAAAAAAAGTAAAATTTGGGAGGATTTTGGTAAAAAGGGGTTTGACAGAGAAGCAAGGAGGAGGTGACGGTACCGGGGCGGTGACTGGAAGCAGGCGGAGGCCAAGAGAGAGAGAGAGAGAGAGAGGAGAGAAAAGAGCAGGCGGGAAAGAGCAGGCGGCGGCCGAGAGAGAGAGGAGAAAAGCCGGAGCGAGAGATCGGGGTTATGTAGACCCTTAACGGGTGATGATGAAATAAATTTGACCCGATCCGATAAAGGTTGGGCCTTTAATATGGAGTTGAAATTGGGCTGAAACCGGAATAAGCGCTTAAGCCCAAATAAGTCCCGATATGCCAAACAATTTGTTTCGGGAAGAAGTGTAAATTTCACGAAATTCCTCAAACAGAAGAAAATGGAAGGGGAAAAAATTAGAGAGGGGGAATTTTTCTTTACGGTTATGAGAAGGGGGCTTTTTTAAAAATTATAAAAGGTTATTTCAATTTGTGGAGCTTTATTTAAGTCACGGCAATGGTATTACCTTTTTTTTTAAATTATAAAAGGTTATTTCAATTTGTGGAGCTTTATTTAAGTCACGGCAATGGTATTACCTTTTTTTTTCTTTTAAACTTCCAAAAGAATTTACGCTTGAAACTTTAGAATCATAGCTTTTTTTCCTTTTGTTTGATGTGATTCCGATCAAATACATTTTTAATATACATATGGTTTTTTAATCAAATCTATATATTACAGAATCTATTAATTCCTTATAAATACAGTATTATAGAATTTGTTATTTATAATTTAGGTGAATATAATTGTAAATAAAAAAATCCTGAACAAATAGGGACTCTAAGAAGTCGAAGTTCGTCATTTGTTACGATATAATCGTCTTCTAGATGACTAACCTCCCTAAGAAGTCAAAGCTCGTCATTTGAGACGAAGCTCGACTAGAAATCAAATTCGTCATTGAAGACGAAGTTCCCCTAGGAACGAAGCTCGTCAATGAAGACGAAGCTTTTTTCAGAAGACGAAGTTCGTCAAAAGAAGCTCACGAGGCTTGCCACGCAGCTGGACTCAGCCATCAAAAGATGAAGTCCGACTTGTTAGACGAATCTTGCTATGCATCGAGGCTCGCCTCATCTGACG